TGCAGTGGCGGGTACCTCCCTTTTCTTGTATTGTCACTAGGCTCTGCCTCCCTGGCCTCTGCTGCCTCCAGTGGCTGCCGCTCCTCCTGCCTCTCTCTCACACGCCGCTCCTCCTGCCTCACACACACACACGCCGCTCCTCCTGCCTCACACACACACACACACCTGCCTCACACACACACACACCTGCCTCACACACACACACCTGCCTCACACACACACACCTGCCTCACACACACACACACACCTGCCTCACACACACACACACCTGCCTCACACACACACACACACACACCTGCCTCACACACACACACCTGCCTCACACACACACACACACACACACCTGCCTCAAACACACACACACACACCTGTCTCACACACACACACACACACACCTGTCTCACACACACACACCTGCCTCACACACACACACACACACACACACCTGCCTCACACACACACACCTGCCTCACACACACACACACACACACCTGCCTCACACACACACACACACACCTGTCTCACACACACACACACACACACACCTGTCTCACACACACACACACACACCTGCCTCACACACACACCTGTCTCACACACACACACACACACCTGCCTCACACACACACACACACACACCTGTCTCACACACACACACACACACACACCTGCCTCACACACACACACACACACACCTGCCTCACACACACACACACCTGCCTCACACACACACACACACACACACACACACCTGCCTCACACACACACACACCTGCCTCACACACACACACACCTGCCTCACACACACACACACACACACAGCTGCCTCACACACACACACACACACCTGTCTCACACACACACACACCTGCCTCACACACACACACACACACACACACACAACTAGGTGAGTACACACCTGTCTCACACACACACACACACACACACACCTGTCTCACACACACACACCTGTCTCACACACACACACACCTGCCTCACACACACACACACACACACACACCTGTCTCACACACACACACACCTGTCTCACACACAGGAGCGGACAAAATCTTGGTACAACTCGCGTCTCATATTTTCACCTCCGTCTTCTATAAAGATTTTTTAATGTAATTTTTATCTGTGTCGCTGGTAACATGGAAAGACTTCGTGATAATCCGGTGTACGAGCGCTACACCAGCGTTGTACAAGCGTTGAACGAGCGTTGTACAAGTGTTGAACGAGCGTTGTACAAGCGTTGAACGAGCGTTGTACAAGTGTTGAACGAGCGTTGTACAAGCGTTGAACGAGCGTTGTACAAGTGTTGAACGAGCGTTGTACTAGCGTTGAACGAGCGTTGTACTAGCGTTGAACGAGCGTTGTACTAGCGTTGAACGAGCGTTGTACTAGCGTTGAACGAGCGTTGTACGAATGTTGTACAACCGTCGTACGAACGTTGTACAACCGTTATAGGTGTGTTGTACAACCGTTGTACGAACGTTGTACGATCGTTGTACGAACGTTGTACAACCGTTGTATGAGCGTTGTACAAGTGTTGGGCAAACGTTGTACAAGCATTGTACGAACGTTGTACGAATGTTGTGCGAGTATTATACGAACGTTGTACAAGCGTTGTACGGTTCACGGCCAGGTCCACCAAGCTGTGGCTGCCTCTGTTAGCATACGCGCCCCAGACACACACACGCGCGATCACAGTGGGCTACGTCGTCAGGTCACAACCCACCAGGATCAGGGCTTCAATTCTCCTGCAGTACAGAAACGTTTGGGTAATGTTTCCTTTCACCTGTTGTATTTGTTCACCCTATGTGGTGGGATGCATCCTGTTAACGGTTAGCACTTGATGAAATGAGTATGATAATAGAACCACAGGTCGGGGCGCTATTGTATTTAGAGAACCAGCGGCTGGAGAAGCGGGGCCCAAGAGCTAGAAGCAGCTCTTGGGCCCCGCCCAAGCTCTTGGGAAGCTCAGGATTCCCTAAGGGAGGATACGGGGCTGTGGGTCTCAGAGTGCCACAAGCGAGGCCAGTGATGGCACCCACCAGGGAGCCGGTCGGCCGAGCGGACAGCACGCTGTACTTGTGATCCTGTGGTCCTGGGTTCGATCCCAGGCGCCGGCGAGAAACAATGGGCACAGTTTCTTTCACCCTATGCCCCTGTTACCTAGCAGTAAAATAGGTACTGGGTGTTAGTCAGCTGTCACGGGCTGCTTCCTGGGGGTGGAGGCCTGGTCGAGGACGGGGCCGAGGGGACACTAAAGCCCCGAAATCATCTCAAGATAACATCTCAAGATAGGCCAGCACGCACATCTTTTCTGTCTTCGGCGATTGGACAGGTTCGTCAGCACTTGCGTATATACCTGCTGGATGAGTCGTGGCGCCGGTCCGCTGCTAAGACATCCGCGTATGGTTGTGGTCAGCGTTCGTGACAAAGCAGCACCAGAATGCGCACTAAAAAAAACTGGATATGTTATAGGTGGCCTTGAGGAGTTGTGAATTACGTCGCCACCGCCGAGGTCCAGTCCGCTGAGTAACGTGTGAGATGACAAGAAGCCGTCGATATGACGCCTGCAGTCACTGTCCTTATGTCTGGCACAGGTCCCGCCTTACACCGGCCACAGGTCCTGCCTTACACCGGCCACAGGTCCTGCCTTACACCGGCCACAGGTCCTGCCTTACACCGGCCACAGGTCCCGCCCTACACCGGCCACAGGTCCCGCCTTACACCGGCCACAGGTCCTGCCCTACACCGGCCACAGGTCCTGCCTTACACCGGCCACAGGTCCCGCCTTACACCGGCCACAGGTCCCGCCTTACACCGGCCACAGGTCCCGCCTTACACCGGCCACAGGTCCTGCCCTACACCGGCCACAGGTCCTGCCTTACACCGGCCACAGGTCCCGCCCTACACCGGCCACAGGTCCTGCCTTACACCGGCCACAGGTCCCGCCCTACACCGGCCACAGGTCCCGCCTTACACCAGCCACAGGTCCCGCCTTACACCGGCCACAGGTCCCGCCTTACACCGGCCACAGGTCCCGCCTTACACCGGCCACAGGTCCCGCCTTACACCGGCCACAGGTCCTGCCCTACACCGGCCACAGGTCCCGCCTTACACCGGCCACAGGTCCTGCCCTACACCAGCCACAGGTCCCGCCTTACACCGGCCACAGGTCCTGCCCTACACCGGCCACAGGTCCCGCCTTACACCGGCCACAGGTCCCGCCTTACACCGGCCACAGGTCCCGCCTTACACCGGCCACAGGTCCCGCCTTACACCGGCCACAGGTCCTGCCCTACACCGGCCACAGGTCCCGCCTTACACCGGCCACAGGTCCCGCCATACACCGGTCACAGGTCCCGCCTTACACCGGCCACAGGTCCTGCCCTACACCGGCCACAGGTCCCGCCTTACACCGGCCACAGGTCCCGCCTTACACCGGCCACAGGTCCCGCCTTACACCGGCCACAGGTCCTGCCCTACACCGGCCACAGGTCCCGCCTTACACCGGCCACAGGTCCCGCCTTACACCAGCCACAGGTCCCGCCTTACACCGGCCACAGGTCCTGCCTTACACCGGCCACAGGTCCCGCCTTACACCGGCCACAGGTCCCGCCTTACACCGGCCACAGGTCCCGCCTTACACCGGCCACAGGTCCCGCCTTACACCGGCCACAGGTCCCGCCCTACACCGGCCACAGGTCCCGCCTTACACCGGCCACAGGTCCCGCCTTACACCGGCCACAGGTCCCGCCTTACACCGGCCACAGGTCCCGCCTTACACCGGCCACAAGTCCCGCCTTACACCGGCCACAGGTCCCGCCTTACACCGGCCACAGGTCCCGCCTTACACCGGCCACAGGTCCCGCCTTACACCGGCCACAGGTCCCGCCTTACACCGGCCACAGGTCCCGCCTTACACCGGCCACAGGTCCCGCCTTACACCGGCCACAGGTCCCGCCCTACACCGGCCACAAGTACCACTTCCTGTCCCAGACAAAGGGTATTAAGCATAAATATCGGAGCCATACAATGGTATCGAACCCCCGTTCCTAAACTTGCCAGTCACGCGCACTAGAGTCCAGGAGTTCAGGGTGGAGGATAAGGAGGCTCGTCAGTGAGATGAAGGTCTAATAGGCTTCCTCGTGGCTCTCCTTAAGAAAATTCGCCATTTCACTTTGACAAATGTTCTTAAGAACACGTTGACGAAGTTGAGAGCCGTACGTTGGGGGAGAGTGCTGCCTGACCCAGTGACGCAGTCTGTGCCACACCGTGCGTGACGCAGTCTGTGCCACACCGTGCGTGACGCAGTCTGTGCCACACCGTGCGTGACGCAGCCTGTACAACACCGTGCGTGACGCAGCCTGTGCCACACCGTGCGTGACGCAGCCTGTACAACACCGTGCGTGACGCAGCCTGTACAACACCGTGCGTGACGCAGCCTGTGCAACACCGTGCGTGACGCAGCCTGTGCAACACCGTGCGTGACGCAGCCTGTACAACACCGTGCGTGACGCAGCCTGTACAACACCGTGCGTGACGCAGCCTGTGCAACACCGTGCGTGACGCAGCCTGTGCAACACCGTGCGTGACGCAGCCTGTACAACACCGTGCGTGACGCAGCCTGTACAACACCGTGCGTGACGCAGCCTGTACAACACCGTGCGTGACGCAGCCTGTGCAACACCGTGCGTGACGCAGCCTGTGCAACACCGTGCGTGACGCAGCCTGTACAACACCGTGCGTGACGCAGCCTGTACAACACCGTGCGTGACGCACCCTGTACAACACCGTGCGTGACGCAGCCTGTGCAACACCGTGCGTGACGCAGCCTGTGCAACACCGTGCGTGACGCAGCCTGTGCAACACCGTGCGTGACGCAGCCTGTGTAACACCGTACGTGACGCAGAGTACAGGCCGCCCCAGTGACGCACCCTGTGTAACACCGTGCGTGACGCAGAGTACAGGCCGCCCCAGTGACGCACCCTGTGTAACACCGTGCGTGACGCAGAGTACAGGCCGCCCCGCAATGACGCAGCCTGTGCGTGACACATTCTAAAGCTTCACTTAAACCAATTTGGACAGCAATAGCCTCGCCCTCACTGTCAAGTTCATGCATGACAGACATTTGTCACTTGACAAAGTGTAATATCCCGCCGGGAGCCTTCCTGCAAGCCTGCACGCACTGGGGGGAGAACTATCCTCCCAGAGAAGTCAAGGTCCCCCCGCCACGCCTGCTAACTCTTCATAACCATCAACAAAAGACGTGCTAATGGAAATTGAACGGTTTGATGGTATTCAAAAACTTCAGCCATCAGGACCACTGTCTTCGGGGGAGACCAATTTTGAGCTGTGTGGAGAGACTATCACCATTATATTTACGAAGAATGAATCGTAATACCGTGCTCAAATATTAGTGTGTGTGTTATATTTTCAAATTGCTACACCCGCGAGGAAAGATGGACGCGGGCAGCGGCAACATTGCGGGTGAATTTCAACCAGCCAATGGGACCGTTTTCTGCGCAACGGCGGAGGAAATGATATCGTGTCTACCCGGAGGCCCTCGCGGCCACACTATCATTTACCGCCAGACGGCATCGCCACCGAGGATAGCCTGGCCTTATTTATTACTTGAGAGATGACATATCACACTTGCATGACAGGTGTGTTAAGGGAGTCTCCCGCAACAGCGCCATCTATAGGGTCGAAGCTCAGTAGTTTGGAGGGAAGTGGGGGGAAAGGGACTCTTGTAGCACAGCGGCGCCTAAGGAATCGTATTTATATACAAACTTTTTACTAATACTGTTTCCTGTTCTGTGGCCACAAGAGGATTTTACAAGATAAGCTCAACCGCTAAGTCGATAAGCTCAAGTACTCAACCGCCATCTGGGTGGCCGCGGTACTCAACCGCCATCTGGGTGGCCGCGGTACTCAACCGTCATCTGGGTGGCCGCGGTACTCAACCGCCATTCGAGTGGCCGCGGTACTCAACCGCCATCCGGGTGGCCGCGGTACTGACATCCGAGACAAAATTTCAAAAGGGCCACTTGCCAAGACCAGCGAAGGATGCTGGAGTGGCCTCTAGTAACGATACACAGAGCTGCGAAGTACAAGACCAACAGAGCCGCGCGGACATCGAGGGTGCTCGGCCTACCTTTCCTGGCGAGATCGAGGGCGCTCGGCCTACCTTTCCTGGCGAGATCGAGGGCGCTCGGCCTACCTTTCCTGGCGAGATCGAGGGCGCTCTGCCTACCTTTCCTGGCGAGATCGAGGGCGCTCTGCCTACCTTTCCTGGCGAGATCGAGGGCGCTCTGCCTACCTTTCCTGGCGAGATCGAGGGCGCTCGGCCTACCTTTCCTGGCGAGATCGAGGGCGCTCGGGCTACCTTTCCTGGCGAGATCGAGGGCGCTCGACCTACCTTTCCTGGCGAGATCGAGAGCGCTCGGCCTACCTTTCCTGGCGAGATCGAGGGCGCTCGGCCTACCTTTCCTGGCGAGATCGAGGGTGCTCGGCCCACCTTTCCTGGCGAGATCGAGGGTGCTCGGCCCACCTTTCCTGGCGAGATCGAAGGAGCTCGACCTACCTTTCCTGGCGAGATCGAGGGCGCTCGACCTACCTTTCCTGGCGAGATCGAGGGCGCTCGGCCTACCTTTCCTGGCGAGATCGAAGGCGCTCGGCCTACCTTTCCTGGCGAGATCGAGGGCGCTCGGCCTACCTTTCCATGCGAGGTTGTACAATCTCTCCAGGAAGGTTGGCCGAGCTCCCAGGTATGAGCACGGCCGATTTTTCTGGGGAGATCGAGGGCTTGAAGGGGCATCGAATTCTTCACATGGATGAGGGCTACCATATAGTTATATACCATACCATATAATTACCAACATGGGTAACTGGCACAAAAAAAGCTCTCCCAATAGTGAGTATATTATATATTTATATATAACTGTGGCATTCAATATATGTACTGTCGCATCGCACTGAACGATGGGATAAACATTTAACACGTGAACGTGTTCGTAGCTGACCTTGGAATGACCTGGGGAGGGGGGGCACCCTCAAAGGTTAGCGACCGTTGTGCGCATGCGCTCTCCCGGATATCGTTATTTTCGTTCGTCATTTATTCCGCTAGGAACTTATCCCCACAAAAAGTATTTGGCAGTTAATCATCTCCATCTCGTTCGATCCCCACCGATCCCGCCTGTCTGCGTCTGTCTGTGTCTGCAGTCCCTTCAATTGAGGATTAATTAGCGGTTCTGCCCAATGGCGCAGTTTCCTGAGGAGGCCATTGCGAGCCCTTGTTGTTTTTAGATTTAGCTACTCAGAACGAAGTGTCCATGTAGCACGGGCTATGGTGAGCCCGTAATTGCAAGCCAGTCAGGTGCCCAGACAGCCAGCGAGAGCTGCTCTCGCCGGGAGAGGTTCCTCTTGGCTACTATCTTCTTGCTGAAGATTTAGGCTGAACATTTTCCTTAATACATATATATCTCC